AAAGATCTATCGCTTTATCACCTATTCAGGTTGTAAATTGTGTTTTTAAAAAGTAACTAAGTAACTAAGTAATTAATTACTTTTGAAAATAAGGAATCAGTAAAGTAACGGGATTACTTTTTGGGGGAAGTAATCAGTAATTAGTTACTGATTACTTTTTTCAAGTAACTTGACCAACACTGCTAATAAATGAAAACAGCTAAGCAAATGAACAGCGGAAGACATCTGTGTTTATCTATGCATTTGGAGGTATGGAGATGTCTGGGAGAGAGGGTGGTGGGCTTTTAATCAGATTGTTTAACACTGTCCTGGAGAGTGAGAGGATGTCTGATGAATTAACTGATTGGTACTTATTTTAGAAAACAAGGATGATGTTCTTTAAAAGTTTTCAAAAATGGTGTGGCAAGAGGTTCACAAGAGCTGTAATCTCTCCCCATACTTTCAAAAATATGCACCCCTGTGGCACAACCCAAAAATAAAAATAGGTAAACAAACAATTTATTGGCCACAGTGGCACAAAAAAGGCATAAGATTAATAAGTGATTTATATGAAGATAACATGTTTATGTCCTTCAATGATTTGACAGTAAAGTTTAATTTGGAAGGACCCACCCATTTTTGGCGATATTTACAAATGAGAGACTGTCTGAAAGATAAAATAAAATTGTCTCAGGAAAAAAAAATGTCATAGAGAATTTCTTTGTACTTCCAACCTTAACTGCAAAGGCATCAAAATGGTATTTGTTTAATATTTAAACCTATTTTCTGCACATTCCAGCACATAAAATAATTTTTTTTGTGTGTGTGTTTATACATTTATGTCATTGGGTTAAAAACAACATATGTAAAAGTCTTAAAGGGGCTTGGGAAAAAGATCTGGATTGTTCCTTCGATGAGGGAACATGGGATTCAATTATTTCTGAAAATGGGTTCTACATTAGGGAAGCTAGAGGCAAACGTATTCAATATAAAATTCTCAATAGGTACTATTATACACCAACAAGACTTTATAAAATGGGAATCAGTAAAGACGACCTGTGCTGGAAGTGCCAAGAAGGAAAAGGTACGTTAGTACATGCTTTATGGGAATGTCCACTGGTCTCCCCAATATGGGAAAATGTTTTAAAATATATGGAGGGTTGGGTGAAACTTAAATTACCTAGATCACCAAGACTGTGCCTATTGGGGGACAGAGGTGGGTGCCAAAGTTAGACAAAGCAGGCTTTAGAGTGTTAAACACTGGGATTGTGACGTGTGTTCGTCTCATTTTAACACTTTGGAAAGACCTTTGGACTCCAACCCTAAAAAAGTGGAAGGAGAAAATGACTGAAAATGCCGCATGTGAGAAAATGCTGGGAAGACTGAGCAGTAAGACAGAGACTCTAACAGAACAATGGGACAGTTTTTTTGTTTATATGGGCCTACAACATGAAGACAATGTGAGATACAGTATGAATTAAGAATTAACTGTGTGTGCAACAGTTTATCTATTTATCTATTTATTTATTTATTTTATATATTTATTTATTTTTCTTCACTGAGTGTGGTTTTTTGTTGTTTTGGGTTGTTATGTTATGGTTTTCTTAATTGTTCAAAATAATAATAAAAAAAACTTTAATTATAAAAAAAAAGAAAACAAGGATGATGTGCAGACCTGTAATAATTACAGAGGGACAAAAGTGATGAGCCATACCATGAAGATATAGGAAAGAGTTGTTGAAGCTAGGTTGAGGACAGAGGTGATGATCAGCGAACAGCAGTATGATTTCATGCCAAGAAAGAGCACTGCAGATGAGATGTTTGTTTTGAGACTTTTGATGAAGAGTAGAGAAGGTCAGAACGCGTTGCTCTGTGTCTTTGTGGATTTAGAGAAAGCCTACAATAAGTTGTCAAAAAGAAACTGCAAATCTGCAATGAGGAAGTCAGGAGGCAGAAAAGTATGTGAGGGTCGTGACATGTACGAGGACAGGAAGATAGTGGCAAGGTGTGCAATAGGTAGGGGTGGGACTACATCAGATATTAGCTCTGAGCTCTTTCTTGTTTGCATTGGTGTTGGACAGAATGACAGATGAGGTCAGGCAGGAGTCTCTATGAACTATGATGACGATGAAAGTAGGTAAAAGGTGGAAGAAAACCCGGAGAGGTGAAGATATGCTGAATTAAACTCAATAGAAGCAGGAAGGGGGCATATGTCCTATTAACCTGTAACAATTGTGATACTTGCTTCTAATAAAAGATATATGAAACATAAACTCAATAGAAGCATAGCAGAAAATGTGTGTGAATGAGACCGAGACAGGCGTAATAGTAAACATGTAAGGAGAGCTAGTCAAGGTAGATGAGTTTAAATGAGCCACACCATCAAAAGTAACAGACAGCGCGCAACAAAGTTGAGGAAATTGCAGGCCAGGTGAGGTGAAGCAGGTGGAGACAAGCACCAGGGGTGATTTTTCACAAAAGGATAGCAACAAGAGTGAAAGAAAAGATTTACAAGGCGGTAGTGATGTATGGTTTGAAGATGGTGACACTGACAAAAAGAACCATTCAGCCATTAGTGAAACACTTTCCATTAACATAACAATCCAAAGTAGTAAACAGTGCAGTGGGGGTGTTTAACATAGATATGTAAGAAACAAACGTCATTGTTCACAACAATAAAAAAAATTAGACATATCTATTGATATTATCCCGAATTTCTAAATTAGTTTTTATGGAAGCGATGACAGTGTGTAAGCAGGGAGGTTCCTGTACGTGTGCGTGCTCGTCGTCTTTTGACGCGAACGCGCGCGTAGCTGTCAGTAGGAAATACAGGCTGTTCGTGTCTGCCGAGCCCCTGCGGCTGTGCCTGGACATCTGATCACAGAAAGTCGGCCTATTACAAAATGAAAATTATCACTTACAGACTCGCTTGACTTTGGTGAGAATGCGTCGAACAAGTGCGCATGTGTAACCGCGGTACCGAGGCATCCCGCTAGCTAGCACGGCTAACAGAAACAGAACACTATCGAGGCTAATGCTAATAGTTAAATAAGCTAACTTAGCTAGCTGTTAACTTAGCTAGCTAGCTCACGGATTGCGGGACGTTTGTTCTCCCAGCTCATCTCCCCGTTCAGCGGTTCCTGCCCCTGTGTCGCCTTTTCGTGTTCTCATTAATTGGATAAGGTTACGGAACCGGAGCTGTGGCGGGGGGACGAGACGACAGGAACCCCCTGGCTGGCTATCCAGGCGGACCGATCACAGTAACACGCCGGTGTGGGTGAGTTGAAGAGTGGAGTTGAAGTTATAGTTGATAGGGGGGCAGCGGGGTGGACAAGGCCTGTGGACGTTGCTCAGCTGGGGCCTGGCAGGGAGGCAGGGTGGGTGTTAACTATTAGCTGCTCGTAAAATGTTGCCTTAGCGCGCTGAATCGGGAAGTTGAGTCGCTTGTAGCAAGGCCTCTTGAGAGGACATAACAACAAAGTGACTGTGACTATTGTGGTGGTGTTATTAGCTGCTAGCTCGTAACACATAGCTGTCTGGAGAAGCCACCACAAACATGAACCTGCTCCATCAGCAAAAAGGCTGGATCACCATGGTTGTCCGTCCGCTTTGTTGAATACCAGTGCACTCGTGCATTTAATGAGGAAATTGCATTTTCTGGGACACTGGCTTAATCATCGATTAAGTAAATTTCTGATGTATTTGCTAAGAGTTTTCATTTTTGTGTGTTTTTTGCCGTGAGCCTTTGTGTGAGTACAAATAAGAAGTTCCTGAATTATGTAGACACACCACTATCACTTCACTGTACATTATAGGCTTTCGTGGCAAAAGAGGAAATGTAGCTTCGTGTATCTGTTGGTGTTAGGTTTATGTTGATAGCACACTTGATATTGTGAGGGAAATCTCGGATGGACTGTGAATTTTTTTTTTTTATAGTGAATGTATTATATTAGTTTAAAAATAATATTAATTAAAAATTTTGACTCATTCTTAAACTGCTTCTGTTTTAAAAAGAGTTGCAAATGAATTGTTAGAAGTCTGTTTTCATACACTTTCACACCCATGCTTTATTTTATTATTGACCCGTTGCTGTTAAGATTTGTGTCTTTATCCCTCTGTAGAAGCACTATTTGTGTAGCTGTGAGTTTAATATTATTACAATTAAAATTCAACTGCTTGTCTTTTTCTTTTTCTAAAGGAGAGAGTGGAACCATGGCTGAGCTTTCCACCTTATCCCCATCCCCACCTGCTTTGGGTGATCCTCATGCAGCTCCATCTATCCCTCCGTCATCACCAGGGCTTCCTCCACCTAACAGCACTGCTACAGAGTCTCCCAGGGAGGTGTCCATACCCAAGTCTTCCCTTTTTAATGACAAAGCTTTGAGTGGAAAAACTTCTGCAGTACTGGCAGGGGGGTCTCCCTTGAATCCCCACCGATCCTCAAATCCTCCCGACCTCACAGCTGAGGCTCCCCCTCTATCATCGGTACAGCAGCCTGCTCCAGGGAATGAAGAATCAGCAGGAAAGCCACCAGCTCCGAGCGAAGTGGCACAGGCGTCCCCCTCTCCTGATCTAAATCCTGGTCCTAACCTGCATGTCACCTGTAACCCAAATCCTGTTGTAGAAGAAGCTCCACAACCCCAGACGACTGCAGGTCCCAATCCCGCACCTGCTCCTCCAGTCTTATCATCATCAGCAACAGCAGCTGAAGGAGAAAAACCTCAGCCGCTCCAAGAAGCACAAAATGCTCCAAACGAGCCTCCACCTTTGTACCCAAAGCCTGGTACTCCCAATGAAGCCAGGATGGGAGAACTGCCTGCTACTCCTACCAGAGCTGAACCCCACAGCCCACCACTCCCCCTGATCCAAGAGCCACCGTTGTCCTTCGCTCTACCCAAACCCCGGCCGGCACCAGACACCCTCAGTTACCTTGAGTCAGCCAGCCTGATGTCGGGAACTTTGGAGTCTCTGTCTGGACTGGGAGAAGATGGCAGCTCCGTGGGGTCAGATTCAGAGATTAATGGCCTAACTGTCAGACGCACTGACAAGTATGGCTTCCTAGGTGGGAATCAGTACAGTGAAGGGGGGTAAGTACACATTAACCAGTCACACACACTCCCAGCTACTGTACAAAAGCATGTGCTGTGCCACTGTGTAATATTAATATTTTAAACAAAACAGAGCAAAAATCTGCTTTTACATGCTTAGCTTCACTGCAGGTGGATCACTATTTGTAATATGAGACACTATTAAATCATGACCACAGAATTGGTTTACTCAGAAAAGTGTAACTCTTGCTTGACTGTTTTCCTATGGCCACTTTACACCATCTGACTCACAGAGATTGTCTTCTCCATCCCAGCCTCCCTTTCCTGCCTTCCTCTTCTTCTATGCTACTCTAAACATATCTGTCTGTCCTTTATCTCCCCTTGGTCTGACTCAGATAGTGCTGAGAACGCTTTTGTGACTCATTATGTACTGACTCTGTCTGTGGTGTATTTCCTATCGCACCCATCTGCTCTCTTCCTCCCCTTTTTTGTCAGATTTGCTTTTACTTTTCTGGCAAGCTAATTGCTCTTCCTCTGTTGAATAATTAAAGTCTTATTGATTTGCCCTGGGTGTCAGTGCCAGTCAATTCCTGTCATTGTTTGTGATTTTTTGCGAGTTAGCAAAATATTGTGCAAATTGAGGCAAGCCATTCGTGTCATTAGATTAAAGTTACAAATCTCAAAGTGTAGTTTTTAGTGGTATCAAAAGAACAAAGAACTTCCTCATTCTGTCAGCATAAAGTCATTTTATATTACTCACTATTGCAGTGAAAAGGAAGTTCGAGTTGAAGTTGCACGACAGCGGGAGATGAAATGGATTGACATGTTCTGCCACTGGGATAAGTGGGTCAAACATCGCTTCCAGAAGGTACACGCACAGCAGCCTTTCAGTATGTGATGGTAAAAGTGAGAACAGAACTGCTACAAAATTAAATAACAGAACAATCAAGTCACACATCTGATCTTTATTAATGAAACATTCAAGTTGAAAATCTTTATTTATAACGTCACTGCTGCCAGTAAAAACTAGAATCTCACACACAGAAACCCCCCAAAGAACATATAGTATGAATTAATGATGGGTAAACGTTATGTCAGAGCCGATGGCCTAAATGTCTGCCTTACAGGTGAAGCTGCGCTGTAGGAAGGGGATTCCATCCTCTCTCAGAGCAAGAGCCTGGCAGCTGCTGTCCAACAGTGAGGAGCTTCTAAGAGACAACCCTGGGAAATTTGAGGTATCACAGTTGTCATGTCATTTTTAGCACTAATGAACTAGTTTTCATTTATTCAATGTAGAAAGTGGAATAAATACAAATTATTCGATCTCTGTTATTCAACTTGATTCTCTTTCAATTTAAGACAATTGCAGCTGGTTTGAAAACATTTTGGGAGATATCATTAGTATTGACTAAGTGGCTTGTAGTGGGGTTGAGAAGGCCACTTGCAGCTCCAGGAGTGCTAAAGGGGCGCAGGCGCAGGCCTAGTGAGCAATAAGCCTCTTATCAGGACCAGTAATCCTGCCTGTTGATGCCCTGCCCCTCTGAGAGGGTCTGGCCTTGACTAGGCGGTGTCCAGCCATTTACTAACTTATTGTTCCTCTTATCTATGAAAGAATTTCTTTGCCAGCATTTTTATTTTTAGTTAATAATTAAATGTCCTGTATAATCCACTTTTATGGCTAAAAAATAATTTCCAGAGAATTTATTGATAACCTTTTTGTTTGTTTGTTTGTTTTTTCTTTCGCTACAGGAGCTGGAGAGAGAGCAGGGAGAGGCTAAATGGTTGGACATTATAGAGAAGGATCTCCACAGGCAGTTCCCCTTTCATGAGATGTTTGCTGCTCGCGGTGGCCACGGGTAAAACAATAAACACAAACACAGTCTATTTTATACCAGAGGAACCATGGTATGCACGATTGATTAAAAAAGGAACACCATGCACTCTGCACTACTTGGAAATGATTTGATCCTTGTAGCTGCGTATCAGGGCAGGGTCACAGTAGGATGTTACTATATCTGTCGGTAAACATTAAGGCTGTGCCATATAATAATATCCTGAATAAAACACAGAATCACAATAGCTCATTGAAAAAGGACTAATAAAAGCTGCTGGCTGTGGGTCTGCAATCAGCAATAAAACGCTAATTTCTTCTTTTTTTTTTTTTTAGGCTTTATCAGACACTCCTGGTAAACTTTTGTTATTGTTTTTTAGGGAAATTTGACTTCCACAATAAAACAAATTGGATACGATTAAAGGCAGAATCAAAAATAGCAGTAACAGTGATATCAGACATTCAAAGATGAAATGAAAAAAAGGGTAACGTGACAAAACAGAGCCAATGAACAAAACAAATGTCTACTTCAAACATCTTTTTAAAGTAATCCTTGTATAAAATAATTAATATTCTTTCATTTTCTTTCAAGTTTATTGAAAGAAATTCTTTATTTATTATTATTTATTATTTATGGTATTTTTTTTTATTTTTTTTTTGAATAGCTCATGAACTGGAGGTAACACCCAAGTTCCCCTCGTAAGCCACTGAATAATTGTCATGCTTGTTCTTGCAGGCAACAGGATCTGTACCGAATCCTCAAGGCCTACACCATCTACCGGCCCGATGAGGGTTACTGCCAGGCCCAAGCGCCGGTGGCTGCAGTGCTGCTCATGCACATGCCTGCAGAGGTGAGGGGTGGAATGGTTAGGTTACTGTTTCTCATTAGGTTGTGAGTGTTAGTTTCACAAAGATGACTTCAGAAGCGTGATTTCTTGAGAAAGTCTCATGAATATATGAACAATGACTTGTGGTGAAAGTCTTTTTTTACTACAAAAGAAGGAAAGTAAATGCAGGTACGTTAAATACCGTCCAGTTTACTTTTGTCCTCCATATCTAAACATGTATCATTTGAAGCAGTGTTTTAAATCCGGTGTGCAGCATTTGTTTTCACATAAGAGAAAAAAAGGAAACTGGATGAATTGACGCATTGGATGATGAGTTAATCTTACAACCTTTAGTTAGGTGTGTGGTCAGACTTTCTTAGAAATCGAGGATGTTTTGTTTTAGCCTTGGTCTTTCTATTTATCCCTCCCCTGCTGACACGTTAATAAAGAGAGGGCGCGTGACAAAAGAGAGTAGGCAGAGCGAGAAAACAAAACACATCTGAAACGTGACTTTATTTGGTTGTTATTTCACTGGAAAGTCTTCTTAATTAAAAATAGGAGACCGAAGAAGCCTAAAATGCTTATTGAACCGCCCCTAACCCATATTACAAGGTGACATCATTTCTTTCTGTGACCTCACTTCTGTCTGCCATGGAAACAGCGTGGGCTGATGTTTTTACAGTATTGTGACCACACCTGCTTAAATGTTACTGTCGCAGTGTGAAATCTAAGTTTGCTCATTTCTTTAAATAAACAGGTGAGCGTGAACTGTGTTATGTAAGGCTTGTTTTCTCACGTCAATACCTCATAGCAAACTGCGCCTTTATCTCTTTGTCACAGTTAGACTTGTAGATTTTTTTTTTCAGATAATGCTTTCTTATGAAACCATCATCTGTTTAAAGCTGGGCAAGCTGATTTTTGTTTGTTTGACATAAAAAGATGTATTCAGGAAATAATTGATGTTGTTCAGTCAACTTTTGCTCTTTGTTTTAGTGGTTAATGCTTTAATATTAAATACACTTGCTTAGCAAACACATGTAGCAGCAGAGGGCATAATAATGCACATATCTGCTTTAGACGCACTCGGATTATACTCAATTTTGGTTACAACACTGATGAGAAGTTCTACTTTTTATATTGTTTCTTAGTATTTTGCAATCTACTTGTAGTGTAGTGTCCACATAGTCCTCTCCCACACTATAATAAGTCAGAATATATTTGTTTTTCAATCTACAATTTATTGTTTGCAGTGCAAGCCTTTAACTTTTCTTTCTGTTTCACAGCAAGCGTTTTGGTGCCTCGTCCAAATATGTGAGAAATATCTTCCTGGCTACTACAGTGCAGGGCTGGTGAGTGAATAAACATGTATTGTTAGTCTGTTACACAGTTATCTCAGTTTTAATAACTTTGTTTTATTTATTTTTTCCTTTAGGAAGCGATTCAACTTGATGGCGAGATCTTTTTCTCTGTGCTGCGTCGCACGTGTCCAATGGCGTATCGTCATCTTAAGAAGTTCAAGATCGACCCCATTCTCTACATGACCGAGTGGTTCATGTGTATCTTCTCGCGCACTTTACCATGGTCCTCTGTCCTGCGTGTATGGGACATGTTCTTCTGTGAAGGTACCGTTAATATCTGCAGGTTTCACAGCCAGTTGTCTGCGCTTTTGTCTGTTTAGTTAATTTGATCCATGTACCTCTGTTTATAAATTACTTGCAAATGTGCATGAAACAGTCTGACCTTAAATATCCAATCCAATTTTATTTATAAAGCGCTTTAAAATAGCCAGCACAGGACCAGAGTGCTGTACATTAAATAAGTTAAGAACAATAGAATAAAATAAAACAGCAAAAAAAATAAAATAAAACCTAAATGCATCAAATTAAATTTAAAGTGTAAATAGCAGGTACTTTACGACCAGCAACCTGATTTGATTAAATGCAGGAGCTGTAAGAATGCAGCATTTTACAGTTTGTTGGTTTTTTGTTAAATAATTTTTATTTTAATCCTGTGGAAAAAGAGAAAAAGGGTGTTTTTTCCATCTCTGTATTTTTGCTATTGGATTCTGCCGTAGTAGTTTTTCATGATTCACCATTCAAAGTAACCCACGTTTATCTGGCGCTGGGGCTTTTGCAGTCATAGTGTTGATCCTCTTCAAGCTATTGTAGCTCCCCTTTCTCCTCCCTTTAAAGCTGCTCTATTCAAAAATGCTCGAAACATGGCAGTGTGGCTGCAACCACAGATGCCCCGCCCTCTTCTGTGGTCGCAGCCAGAGCGGTGTGCCTGAGATGACCATATTAGGAATATCAGCCCTCATTTACATCGTACACAACCAAGAATAGAAAATGTCTATGTCCTCAACTGTATCGGTGTTTGACTTGTGAAAATAAGAAAATGCATAATTCTTCCCCTTTAACAGAACTTTGAGAACTGCTTTTTTTTCTAGATTTCTTTTATAGATCTAGTTTTTCTAGATTGAAAGAAACCTAACTTAAGTGTCTGTGTGTAGGAGTGAAGATAGTCTTCCGTGTCGGCCTGGTGCTACTGAAACAGATGCTTGGTTCTGTGGATAAACTTCGGGAACTTCAGGGCATGTATGAGACCATGGAGCGTCTAAGAAACATCTCACCCGACACTATCAGAGAGGACATATTGGTACAGGAGGTCAGTGCTTATGGAGGCCGTGTACATAAAACTTGTTTCTGTTTTTACTCAGAGACACGAGTTATTAGTCATTTTATCCTGTCGTGGCTCATCTTGTTATCCTCACTTCCTCTGTCTGTCTCTACTTTGTCTGATGTTTTGTTGTCCAGATCGTCGCTCTCCCAGTGACTGAGGCACTCATAGAGAGAGAGTGCAACATTCAGGTGAGGAAGTGGAGGGAGTCCAGAGGGGAACTTGTGCACCAGCCCGGACGCCGCCTTCACGGCACAAGAGCTATCTTTGAGTACAAACGCAGAGCTGCTTCCATCAGCTCTGGTGGAAGCTTCTCTTTCCTAGGAAGCTCGATCCCACCACCAGGACCCCTCAGGGCCTCTTCCAGTCTGCTGTCACTCCCTGGCTTCCGCAAATCTAAGGCTCCTTTCCACTCCCACGCCAAGAAGGGCTCCTTCTCAGGGCCGTCAGGATTTGAGGGTTTTCCACCTCCGTCACCACCCGCAGTAACATCGAGCTCGAACCGAGGGCCCAGCCAGAAACCACCTATGCCCCCAGGGGCAGGTCATAAGGCAGCACCACAGAGCCCCTTAGTATCAAATGTGGCTAGTTCATCTCATGGTCCTGCTCCAGCCTCAGAGAGCACATCAGCACAGGGCGAGCCTGCTTCTTCGGCCCCAATGCAAAGCACACCACAACCCCCCGCTACTCTGGCCCCCTCTCCTAAGATCGTCTCGGAGCAAATTACTCCCACTATCCCGTCTCCTACTGCAAACAACACCCCTCTGCCCCCATTACCAGATTCAAAAAAAGAAACGGCACCTCCATCAGCCGATGCCGCAAATGTGGAGGAAGAAGGAAAGAAGAAGAAGAAAAGCAAAGAGGACAAGAAGAAGGAGAAGGAAGATGAGAAGAAAAAACAGAAGGAAAAAAAGGAAAAAGAAAAGGCTGAAAAAGAGAGGCTCAAAAAAGAGAAAGAGAAGCTAGAAAAAGAGAAGAAGAAGGGGGGCAAGAAAAAAGACAAAGGAGGAGGAGGAGGGGATGCAGAGGACAAAAATGGAGCTGCAGCAGCGAAAGAGTCGGCCTAATTTTCCACCTCGTCATTCCAGGATAACAAAAAAAGGGAGGCTGAACAAACAAAACAACACAAAAAAAGAGGTCAGGGGAACAAAAGATCCCCAAAAACAGTGACTGATATAAAAATGGGATGGCTTCCTATATAATGCATCATTTCAAGGATTTAAAGTAGTCTAAGGACTATGTTGGAGAAAACTGGATCATGGTTTCAACAGCACTTTTTGCCTCTCGTGAGATGGGACAAAATTTCCTTTTTTTCTTTCTTTTTTCCCCCAACTGGAGCATGGACTGTGAAACTTTTTTTTAATTATTATATATATAAAGGATTGCAGTCACTTTCTGTTTTAGTTTTTTAAATTCTTTTTTTTCCTCTTCTTTTTTTAATTATTTTAATCAAACTGATGGCAGTGGTGTGAGGAAAAATCATCTCAAACGCTTGCAGAAGTTGTTACGGTGCCATAGAAAATGTAAATAAAAGGTCTACCTACGATACATAGGATCGTGTTAACACTCCATATGCCCCGTCACGTCTCATCTGATGAAAAGGGTTATTTGGGGGAGGGGAGAAAACGAAAATAAATCATTTAAAGTCTCAAACGCAGGCACTGAAGACAGAAATGCTAGTAATATTGTTGAGGATGTATTTATTGTCACGTTTAATGTTGTCTGTGCCTTAGTAGTATAGTGAAATGTGTCAATGTGCTTTGTGTGGCCTCCCTTTTTGTTTTAAATCAAACTACCATTGAATCCCTTCTGTGTTTTCAAACTTTTACTAGATTAGATAAAAAAAAACAACAAAAACAAAAGAGGGGGAAGTAGAGGAAAAACAGTACCTTGTAGTCTTGTAGTGACGGCAGTGTTTTAATGGGTCACTCTTTTTTTGTTTTTGTTTTGGATAAGCAGGTAATGTTTTTATTTTAGGTTTTAGGGTTTTCTTTTTTCTTTTTTCAAGGGTTAAAAAAATGAGGTACAACATTATCAGTAAATTGCTTGAGTGCTAACATGCAAGCAGTATCTGTGCACAAGTCCTGCAGACCAAATATCCTTCTGTGAGTTTAGTATTATTTCAGTTTCATTGAACAAAATAGTGTGCACAGGTATGGGTTCCTTAACTCATTAGAATGTGATTTCAAGTATCGTAAGAGAATGAAGAATTTTTCTTTTCTTTTTTTTGTTTGTTTGTTTTGGGTTTTTTTGCACTTGTCATTTTGTCACAAAGCACCACTGAAGGTGACCACTCCTTTAGTGCGGTGACATGGAAAACAAGCGTCTCAGCAGGCTGGTTTCAGCCTTGTGGACCTATAGGAAGCCACTTGACTGGAGGTGCCAGGTGTGCCAATGTAGCATTAACCTCTGATCTTTGACCTTTTGGGCTCTGATGTATTTATGTAAAAAGTGGTTAATTTAATCAAATATAGTATATTATGAATTATTATTATTATTTTGGATCTGAGTATTTTTCTATCTAAGAGACACCTGGTTGACTGGAATGGAGGCTGACTACACAGCGTAGTTGCAGAGGAACTATTCAAAGTCTTTTATTTTTATTTCATATCTTGTTTTCTTTTTTCTTTTTGCACATTAAGTCTTCAGCTTCAGCAAACTCAATGCATGTCTTTTGGTTTACTTTCACTGTTGGTTTGGTCAGCTTAGGTTCACGAGTCTCCAGTTTACTGAAGTGCAGTATTAACAGACTTGAGTGTGGGGGGGAAAAATGAGCCTTAGACTTGAGAGAACAAACTTTAGAACGACTGACTTTGGCAGAATATTTAGGAACTGAAGGTCTTTGTACTGTGTCATATACTAAAAAGTGGTTTTTAATTGAACATCTTAAGTACTTCTGTCTCACCAAGTTGTGTTGTAACATTCATAATGACTTATGGACTAACTCCCTAATGTATTTACACTCAATGTTCTGTACTGTAACATATTTATGCATACATTAAGTGGCGCTGAACCCTGTCAGTATATGATGAATAGTGCCAGGTAGTTAGTGTAAACCATTTGATGGCAAGAAAAACAAACATCGATGCTCTTTAACTGTACTGTTTGGTAGTTGATGATTAGAGGGACTTTCGTGTACTTGTAGCCAACATGTCCTCCATATTCATTGTTTTCCCACTTGTTTCAAGTCTTCACAGGGCTGTCATTTATATATGAATATGAATATCACACACACACTCTCTTTCCCTCTTCTGTTTCGACGGCAGCGCATCATAGGCACAGATTAAGTGTAGTGTTTAGTGTGGATAATCTGAACACATCTATGCAAACTTTGCATGTGTCTACGTGGTGACAGCAGCACTGATTTTACCTCGTGCTGATCTGAGTGGTGCCGTCAGGGGGGAGGAAAGGATTTTGTGCTTCACCACATGTTTTTGTTTTTTTTCCTGTAACACTTTCAGGCCCGCGGATTATGGTATTTATGAGCAATATGTCCTCGCAGCTCACATCTGGATGATGGTGTCGTTTGTCTTTGTTCAGGGAGCTGGAGGTGACGTGATGATCAAATGAATCTGGCACTAGCTGCTCTTTGCTCTGCTCTGCAATAGTGACAAAGCCTATTTGTATCAAGTCCTTTGTGCATTTCTCCATTGACCCTGAAGCTGTAATTCTTAAGTACATTTCATTGGGAATAACTCAACTGATGCAAACATTTCAAAAAAGGAAAATGTCTCAGCTGTGTGGGTTTTTTTTTTTCTTTCTATGCCGTTACGTCTTTAGTGTCTTTAAGTTTACATGTCACTCTCTTCTCTGGCGAAAGTGAAATAAAATCATAGCTAATTGAATTCATTCCTTCAGATCTGCAACTGTTGTATTTATAATTAATGATGATAATGACATTTGTGATGAGTAATAAACCATAATATATTAAATCACTTGGGTAATTTTTTTTCTTTTTTGGTGTGTGGCTTCCATGTTTGGAAAGATTAAAAATCTAGGCTGGATTTAAATAACCAGCATTTAATTTTGAAATTAAGAGTCATCCTAGTCTGTTTTTATTTATAATTGTTCCAGCCATATTTGGCAGGACGAAGCTCCACCAGATGTTACCAGATGGGTGATTTTTGCTGCTCAAACCCTGCCCCACAGAGCCACTGAACAGACACACTATTGTACAAAAGAAAAGAGATTTTATTCAGTTTTTTCCCTTTTATTCGTTACAGGAAAGGTGAGGAAGAGTCCAGTCACTGGATTCAAGTCAGCTTATGGAAAAAAAAGGTGATTTGTTAGTTGCTAGAAGGAGGGGAGGGAAAGGAATCGAAGAATTGAATGTTTTCTTTCGGCCCTTTCTCTCCTCTCCTTCAACCTTTTCTTTATTTATTTATTTTTTTTAACTTTTCAAATAAATAAAGTTTCCATCACTTTAATGAGGTAACTTTTTTCTAATCTAACCTGCAAATTCTCTGTCCCCACCTCCTCTACTCAGAAGGACATCTTCAAAATTTGGAATGAAGTCCTCATGCTTGGTGTGTCCCTCCAAATAATGCGTTCCTCTCAGATACCGAGGGAAGCAGAGGGGACGCGATTCATTCACACTAAAGCACCTTTGAGGCTAGAGTGACCGGCCACACAGAGACGAAGAGGTGAGGCGACAGAAGCTGGAAAGAAAAGTTGGAAATGATGTTACAGGATAATTTTTATTAGTAATAATCATCCTTATTCCCCATAAGCAAACATAGACATCCCTCGGGCGTCAGTCATCTCATGTGTCAGTGTGACAAGTCTTTGGTTTAAACATGAGCGGCTGAGCACCTGGGCTTACACGGAAGGTGAGTGGGAAGAAAGGAGGAAAGAAAAGGACAGGGAAGGCAGAATAGCAAAGGGATTGTTGTCTTTCTTGTCTTCTAGCTTTTTCTTTACTCCTCCTTCTCCTCTCCGTGTGTGATGACGTAGCAGATGTTCTTGTAGTCTACGTTGCCAGCAACATCAGGGGGGAAGGCGGCCCACATGTTCTTAATCTGAGGGAGAAAAGCAAAGTTGGAAATTCACCACATTGAGAAAGTAGCATGGTCCATAATTAAATATTTGGTCCGTCAGTAAAATAATCTAACACTGAAGAATAATAATAAATTATATGTTTAAAGGAACAGAAAGGATTTGTTTTAAAGACTACAAAAATAGTCTATAAATAGACTTGGGTGTACATTTTTGTCAGTAAAGGGAAGACCCATCCCAAATATCCAAAGAAATAAGGGCGCTACCACATCCCAATCTAGATAAAAAATAGAACTTTTTAACTTCTGTTAAATTATTAAATAATTATTTAATGTTAATTAATTTTATTTCTTAAAGATAGGCTGAGTATGGTAAATGGCCTGTATTTATATATAGACCCCAAAGCGCTTTACATATCCAGTCATCCACCCATTCACACACTGGTGATGGCAAGCTACATTGTAGCCACAGCCACCCTGGGGCGCACTGACAGAGGCGAGGCTGCCGGACACTGGCGCCACCGGGCCCTCTGACCACCACCAGTAGGCAACAGGTGAAGTGTGTTGCCCAAGGACACAACGACCGAGACTGTCCAAGCCGGGGCTCGAACCGGCAACCTTCCGATTACAAGGCGAACTCCCAACTCTTGAGCCACGATCGCCCTTTTAGTAACAGAGCTTTGAGTAACAGTGTACAGTAAGGGCCACTGTGCCAAAATGTGGAATTACTGATTTTACCTCCTCCTTGGTGAACCTGTCGCACTGAGTGGTCAAGAGCTCCTCAAGGCTGGAATAGGTTAAAAAAAAAAAGATTTTAATGGTTTAAAATCTGAATTCTTTCCACTTGGACCAACATAGAGGATAAAAGAGATTGTTTTAAAAGTCCTCACAATTCCTTCTTGATGCTTCCAGTACCCTCGGGGTCCAGGACTTTAAAGGCGCTAAGAATAACGTCTTCGGGATCAGCACCTGGTGAGGACAGGGGGTCGGGTACACAGTGTTAGCGGGAAAATATGCAAGCATTAGCATTAGCACATAACTGTGCATCATGTGTTGGCACCCCTTTATCTGAAAGCACTTAAAAGGAAATCAGGGAACTTTAGCGCCAGTGTAATATAAGTCATTTGGTGAAAATGGGATTCCCACCCTTCAGCTTCTCTCCGAACATGGTGAGGAAGACGGTGAAGTTGATTGGGCCGCTGGCCTCTTTGATCATGGCCTCCAGCTCCTCATTCTTCACGTTCAGCTGGCCTGAAGAGCACGGAAATTAAAATCAAGACGAGAGAGAGAGCGTGAAGTGAATTCGCACATGCTTACTGGGGCGTGAATTGCTTCCATTTGGACTCACCCATTGAGGCCAGCACGTCCCTCAGGTCATCTTTGCTGATGATACCATCTCTGTTCTGGTCAATGATTGTGAAAGCCTGCAAAGAAACGCTTGGGTTTAGCATTGGAAGGAAACACTTGGGGTTGATGCGGCCTGTGTGGTTGGACGGGATCAGACCTCTTTAGGCATTTACGAACTCCTCAATAGTTTGTTCAATAAAGTGGCAGCTGGTAAGAATCTTTGACACACAAATGACGATAGACGATACTCTGTAAGAAAGAGCCTTAGTGGGCTTTTGGTGGCAGGAGGGGGTGTTTAATCCCCCAACCCCAGTCTTTTCTTACATGTTAATTTGGGAAAGTATCATTAGAGTACAGCTGTCTGATCTGCTCTGCATCTTACAACCATGAAACTTAAGATAACCCCTTGGACTTGAACTTGAACTTCACTCACTGACCTTTCTTTCCACCTTCTCCCCTTGCTCTCCTTTTCCTTACTCTCTCAATCTCACACACATTTGTACTGATAGTTACAAATACATCCTGCTGCCTGCTAGCTTTCCATCCATGCAATGTGCTAAGATCATCCTAATCATTATTACATGTGTTCCCTGTGTGGCACTTAAGAAGCCTGTATCACTTATCAGGGGATAAATATGTTCTATTTGGAGCTCGCATCACTTGGCAACACACTGAAAACCCGTACACCATCGTTTTCCAGAGTCGTGTCGGCGTGCTCTTCTCAAATCAAGTCTCCCTGACCTTAATGATCTCTGACACACAACCTTTAATCTTTATTTTTGACACTTTTTCCTTTTGCTCTTTGTCTTTTCTTTCTAATCTTATCAAATGTTCAGTGACATCTGAAAAATAAACCTTTAAAAATATGTCATACCCAAAAGTGAGTCTAACCCCTTTGTTTTTCTTTTCTGCATCATAACATGGGTTAGTTTATTCTCCTTGGCATCCCAGACTTTACCCAGCTGTGACAGCTGACAGTAGCTAGGAGGGGGGGGGGAGTCAGAGGTTCAGATGGTGTCGAAATTTCAGCGCTGCTCCTAACGACATTCCTATGATTATTAAACTGTCAGGGGAGAAGTGGAAGCATGCAAAATAGCAACTGCTGTGAAAACAGATCCTCAGAGTTGCTAAACCAAACTCAAATTCTGCACAGATTCAGATTCTGAGGCTATTTAAATATCTTTGACAACTAATCGGAAACTGTCAAACGCTTCCAGGGCGTTCAGCCATCAGGGATGCTTATGGAGTAGGGATGAAGACGACCTCACCTCTTTGTACTCCTGAATCTGGCTCTGCTCAAACATGGAGAACACATTGGAGGAGCCGCTGTCTCCTGCTGCCTGCCTCCTCTTGGCCTTCTTTGGTGCCTGGAGGACAGAGACAAGCACATCAACTTCAATGAATCTGGGATGCTGATGAGTGCGGAACAAGATTCGGTAACCCTTACTTTTATCAATCTATCTCAATAGGATGTTTAATAATATTAACCTTTCTAAGCTATATAAGCTTTATAAATTATACTAAAATCATAAAAATAATCAATTTTGCATAGCATCTCTAAACTTGTCTGATTGGAAATCAATGCTCATCCAGATTACACTTCAGGTTCAAGTTCAGGTCATCACTCAGGCTTGTTAAAAAAAAAGTTATGCTTGTGTGAAATTTTATAAACTTGATATTTTTCCTCAATTTAGCTTTACCGAACTAATCAATTTGGCTCGCAATGTATCTAAAAACTTGTATCAACTAATAGCAACAATTCATTAGAATCCAAGCCTCTTTACAGCTGCATCATCAAAAATCCAGTTCTCCAAATTCCACACTTCTATTCTGGAATTTCTATTTCCAAATTAGACCAAAAACAAAAATATGTAATCCATGGGGTTGGTTCAAACTCTCCTGTAGATATTTCCACCATCACTGTGCAGAGATGTGGGAAGCCTGGTACTCACCATCTTGACAGCTGAGGTTTGGGTGATCAAGAAAGGGAAGACACTGTGTGTGAAGCCGCGTTGTACGTTTATTCCCGGGGGCTTATATACTCATCCGCCAGCCAATCTAACTTTAGCCGCAGCCTCAAGTTTGGATGGGAATAAAAAGAGAGAGAGAGAGAGGGTGTGTGTGTGTGTATGTGAAATAGAGCGAGAGAGAGAGAGAGAGAGAGGATGGTCAATGATGAAGTGATGGCAAAAGTGAAGGAGACAGAATGGCGGGGCAGCGTATCACCTTACAGGAGATCAAAAATAGACCCGGGAGTCTTGGAATTAAGTAAACTTGATAGCTGAGGGACCATGTTGCAGGTTTGCAGTCCCACGTGGACTAATAAGGACATTCAGGACATATATACTTGTTGGACGACTGGACACTGCCTCTCCTCCCCTCCTTCTGTCCACCTCCATCCGCCTGCAGAAAGGCACAGAGGCCACTCTGACTTTATTTTTGGTTTGCGATGTCCATTTGCGATATTACAGTTTGACAGGCATTCTATATGCTCAGCAACTGATGCAGCTCTTACCCTGAATGTGCACAGCGCTGCTTTCTTTTTTTAAGCCGTGACAAAGTGACGATGCTGATGTCAAATCTGGGATTTTCCCATGAAAGTTATGATGACAGGAGCTGCTTAGCAGGATCAAATACGTAGTACTACATAAAAACATGCAGCCATTAATAAAACGAGCAACAGCAAGATATATAAGCAATATTTTTTTTTACTTAATCCTTACACTGAAATACTTTAGAATCGTGCTGTAGAAAAGGGAGCGTGTCTGAGGATATTCATGCTTACAGACTTAGTTATATAAAATTTCTATTTGTATTTTACCCCCGTCCTTTCTGGATGCATTAATGCAAATGCAAACTGGTCTGTTTTATGAAAAGAGCTTTATGTATTTATTTCCCCTTTCTTTTTCAGTCTTTTCAAACCTATTCCATCGTGGTGAAAGGGGACATTGCCAAAACTGAATTAAATTAATAAGGATAAGGTGTAAACAAAGAGAGCTTAAACAGATTATTTATCCAACAGTCTTATTGTTTAATAATTAAAATGTTAGTGCAAACAATGGAAACATGTTAGGGATGCAGATTAGTGTCACAACAATGAAACATGAACAAATAAAAAAATAATAAAAACAACATAATTGTTATGTTTATAATAATTAATAATGTAATTGAAATAAATAAACAATTAAACAATTTCTGCTATTGTAGGTCACGGGGGGTGATACATGAAATGCTTAAAACATTTATTTAGTAGCAAAAGAGCAATGTACGAATACTTTCTGCATTCTGAAAGTAATTTTAAGAAAATTAAAATTAAATTATTAATAAAAGTTTAATCCTAGAGAAAAATCAGATATTACGTAATGTGTGGCTTAATTAGATTCTTAATACCCGTGCAGGGATAATTTAACTTTACTTAACTTTCAATATGTAACTTGAAACCAAAGACATCATAGTCATAAGCCAAAAGGTTTGCACACCAGTAATTAAATTTTTAAACATGTACATTTATATGATGTCCCTTAGTTAAATACAATTGTGATTGTGGAAGCAGATAGTCGCTTCATCTATAAGATTAATTTTGAGGCCTGAAAACTACAATACTACGTTTTACAGGCAGAATGGCTCTTTTGTGTAATTCAGTTTTTTCTCATTTTTTGTGTGTTTGTTGTTTCCGAAGGGGTGTTGCGAGCCTTAAATGTACAACAACATGCCAGACAAGTGAAAGCACCATTAATCTCTGCCTTCTCATCACAACAGAGGTGTGTGTTTTCTGATTGGTTACAGTCATGAACACTTTCCCACCTGTTTGGCCCCCTCTCACACAGTCTACCCCTCAGGCTCCCACCCCCTTAAATATAAAGGGATTACTTGGCCGGGTGATGACAGCAGACATTCCCAGAAGAGCATAAAAGGGACAGCTGAGTGCGACCAAAATAGCTAAATAAACCTAACAGTCTGTCTGCTTTCCTTCATTTGCTCTTTCAGGTTTTATATCCAAATCTACTCCAGAGATAATCTGTTTTCATTTCATTAATCAGGCACATTTATTTTTGTTCTGTGGTTGAGACTGTTTGTGTTTCCACTTATCTCCCCACCAGCCACCGATGAGTCACATCTCTGCTTTTCACTGGTTTCCAGTCCCTCAGTAATCTGAATTAGGCTGGTGTTTGTTTTCACTGGACGTGCAGAAATTCCAGGGTCTGAGTCTCAGTACTTACTTTGTATTCTTGTTGACCTTTGACCTCTGTTTCACTAGACCATCAACAACATGTCATTGAAGGAGTTATATGTATCAAACCACATGGTGTCAGTTTTTACTTTTAAGAGGAAGAAGTGGATAAGATAAGATTTGCCTGTATATTTTTTTTTCTGTACACTTCATTTATCGCTCATACACGAGATGCAATGCACTGTGGGAGGAAACTGAAGCAGGCAACTCCACGCAGAAACAAAGATTCAAACCAGGAACGTTTTTACTGTGAGGTGACAGTGCCAACACGTGCAGCGCCATATTAAACTACACTGAAACTCTGTATTTTAGCTTTAAAAGCGGCTCAATAATCTGCTCCCACGATAATCATTCAGTGCTTTTACACTTTAGGATTTACTTAAACAAGTTAGATCTTGCAACTTAGAGAAAATAATAAATCGCAGTACTTCAGTGGAACATTTTAAAGTATCACAACAGATTGCATTGCTTCTAATATCAGCATATGGTGACCACTGTATATGCTTTAAACATCGTTTAGCCTGTTGTTTTAACACTGTGCGCGTTTGGGTTTTTATTCGTGTTCTTTATGTGATTGTGACTGAAAATAATAACAACAACTCAATGGCTTCCTCTTAGATTTGTCTTTTTGAAAGGGAAAAGTAATGATTTTAAAATCGGTCTTCAGTAAAAAACCTAATAAATCAAAGTGGTTTTCTTCAATCTGGCCCTTCTAGTTGGACACGAGTGTCAAGCACTTCTTAAGAAATATGCAAACGAGCCGTAACATCTCAAACTTTTCATAGATGTCAGCTGCTGCAGTTTACTGACTTCACCGTCTGCACAATGTGTTTACTCGCCGCTGTGGCGATGGAATGCTTTCATACAGATGTGTGTGTACATTGCAGGCGCCTGTGCTGTAATGTAACACATCTCACCACGCTCTCGAGAAGCCATCTATCATTTCTGGATGATTGGTATGTGTGTCTGTAGGTCTGGAATGTGGAGAAGCTCCCTGCTTGACCTATGGGGAAGACGGCCTTAGCAAATTGGAGTGACACGGGAGACATGAGAGTTTGTAATCTCATACTCTGTGTTTGATCACCGTCCAGTCTGAATTTACTGTTTGGTTATTTGAGTCCATCTGTGATTGTGTTACATCAGTCGCCATTCAGTGAATTTCAAAAGCACTTCAGGTGTCTGTTGTTGTTTTTCAAGTTGCAGGACAGCTGAATTGTGGACGCTGCTGATAAAAGTAAGCAGCAACTAACTTAACTAAAGCCACTTAATTTTCTTAAATGTAACACCAGCTGCATTCTTTGTGTCTCTTGCATGCATCTATAAATCAGTCACACACTGTGCCTGCAGCTCCCTCTACTGTTCATATTCCTTCACTGCTTCTTCTTGTCTGTGCAGGTTCTCAGTCATACAAGTCACTGCTTCTTCTTCTTCTACTTTTGGCTGCTCCTTTTAGAAATCACCACAGCGGCTCATCTACCTCCTCTGTCACAGCAACCCTCCTTCACTACATCCATGAATCTTCTCTGTGGTTTTCCTCTTTCCTCCACCCTTTGTCCAGTATATCCACAATCCCTGCTCCTCACATGCCCAAACCACCTCAGCCTTGCCGCTCTGACTCTCTGATCTGTCCCTCTGATGTACTGATTTCCAACCTGCAAATGAAAAGCTTAACATCCTCAACTCTGTCACCTCTTGTATTTTTGTCAGTGCAACCATCTCCAAACCATACATGATAGCAGGTCTCGCTACCATCTTCTAAACCTTCCCTTTCACTCTCACTGCCATCCTTCTGTCACAAATCACCGGTGACACTCATGCTTGCACTCTCTCCTTTCTTTTGCTTTGGATGGCATTTAAGCTCATCTACCTTCAGGACATGGACTTTCTTACCACCACTGTTAATCGCAGGCGTAGATTTAAGAAGGGGCTCTTTTGAGTTATGTTTTTATTTGTATTTTGTGCATCAAAGTTGTGTGTCAACATGCCAACGAACCAATTACAAGTCATAAAAAAACAATAGACAAGTTTTATTTGATCATACCGTGAATTTCATATAATACTTTTTTATTTAACACTGCATCATGGTGGGCGTCCCACAGCAAGAAAATCACAGGTGTAAAATATTGCCATAAAATATAAAAATAAAAGGCCCCTTTGAACAGCATCTACCCTGCTTTACATTCCAGTGTGTTTTCTTCACAGAATCTAGAAAATCTGAACTTTCTGTAAAGAGTTTAAAGCTAATCTAAAAATGACCGGCGTTGATCAGACAGATGTCAGGTGTCTGCCAAAAATGTCAAAATACTAAAACAGGCTCGCTTCCTCTTTGACACACATGACTCACCCCATCTCAGTTCCTCCTAAGGAAACACTAAACTCTTTTGTCTTTCACCCCAGGTCAATAAGATCTTGATCAGTGTGGTCCTCTTCTTTTTGACGACTTTTCAGCCAGTCCTCTCGCACTTTCTTCACTTCCTGGCCATAATAATCATGGAGTTTGCTAAAATCCTCGAACAGGTCAAATCCCACCAAAGGCCACTCCCCATACAAAGGTGCTGGTCCATTAAGAGGTGTGACACAAGCATGTCTCCTGGTCCAAAGTTTAGGGGATTTTTTTGCCACTGCTTTAGCTGGTATGGAAGGTGCTTGTAAAAGGGTGCTGGCACTGAAGCTCCTCCCCTCTCTGACTACTGCTGTTTGCTGCGTTGTGGTGAATAAGAAGCTGTTTGTGGGCAGCTTGAGGGCACTGACAGTGGGGTGGGACTCACCCAGGCTTTGCTGCTGCTTAGCTTCTGTGAATAGAAACCAAAATATGAACCGAGAACCCTGCTTGTATATATAAAGTGTAAAAATTTCAACAGTTAAATTTTACATTCAGGTTATGCTGTGATATTTCAGGACTAGGGGAAATAACTTGCTGTAATCAAACCAGACTATTCTATTTTTATACTTTTTTAAAAGCTCAGTGAGTTGTTTAAGTGCTGGGCAAACCATAGATTAAAACCATATAAAAATGGCTGATTGAAAGCAAAAAACACATGAGAATTTGAATGTATAGGCAGTACTCCAAACACACCTTCGTACTGTCTCGCTAGGTCTTTCACCACCATGGAGAGATAACAGTGGCTGGCTGAGTGGAGAGCTTTCACCCAGCTCTCTTGACCCTGGCGATCTATTGCTGCAAATCTGTAGGTTTTGAGTCCAGGCCCAAACACCAGGGAGAAGGTGAAATGTCCATCGGTCTCCGAGTGCTGAACAGCACACCCTTCCAGCACAATGACACCCAGCAGGTGTCTGTCAGCTGGGCGCTCCTGGTAAAAAAGCAAGTTTGCCTTCAGGACAAACCACCGCCGGTGGTAGGTGTCATTTCGTTTTTTCTGCAGGGACATTTAAGATAAATGAAGTCAAACAAAAAGATTGTATTTGCACATGAAAAGTGATTTCACATTGTTTATGATGTATATCATCTCAAACCTTTTTGTTGAGATATCCCTCTTTATCCACTGGAGATGTGCACGAGAGGTAATGGGTTAAAATCTTCTCATGAAGCTTCATCACAACACCTGGAAAAGAGAAAGCGCTGATGCATTCGGATGATATTTATACCAAAATCTGCACTAGATGTAACGAACACATGACAGAAGAGTGACACAGCAAAATATGCATGGCCCTTAAATTACTGTACTTGTTTTATGTACATGGATTTGTAAATGGATTTGTTGGTATGATGCAAAACATCCATGAAAGTTAAAAAGTAAAGGCAGGTGTTCAAGAAAACAAATGTAAATGAAAATAAAAATGAAAAAATACTTGATGAAAATTATGAAAAGTATGTGTACTAATAAAACTAACATCAGTTTTAGTCAGTGTCAGGTTAGTTACATTTATTAACACGACCTGCCTGATTTTACACAAGGCTTTGATTTTTCTACATGACTGTGAGTCGACCGCACCCACAAAGTGTTGTGGATGTAGCAACACAAAATGAAACATTTTGAAACAATAGAAAAAACTCAAAAAACAGATTCAAAACTAAATAAATAATTTTAAAAAATTAAGCAATGATATTTCAGGTCGTCAGAGTCAAGCTTACTCTGTGTTCCTTATTACAGTGAAACCAACCAAGGCAGATTTTATCTTCTGTTTCTAGTGAAACAGTCTGCTAATATTAAAAGTGTACAGATTATTTAACTTTAATTGGTTTGTGTACCTTTAACTTTTTGCTTTTGATTTTAATGTCTTTTAAATGTGATTTGAATGAATTTTAAGCCATTTAAGCCACGCTAAATAATCTCGCCATGTCATGTCACGGAGGAACCGAAAAACTGCAATACTTGCAGTAAAATCTAGATCCAACACAGTAAATTTATTACTGCTGTACTGCTGTGTTCATACTGCTATTTCAACCATTACGAGCTTTTTCTATAAGTAAGTTACAGTCACAATGAAAACAGGTGTATAGCTGTGCAGCTAAATTGTATCTACCAAAATCCGACACTTTCGTCTAGTAACTATAAACAACAGTGACATAATAGAAAACGGTGACTCAGACTCACCCCTGCCAATGATAAATCGCTCGCAGGGTCAGTTTGCCCTCTCGCGTGGACTTTACCTTAATTACATTCGCACATATTTTCTTTGATTCTTGTCATTCCTGCTCGTGAAGCCGATTGTTCTCCTCCAGATCCAGACAATGTTTGAATGTATAGTTTCAGGTTACTACCACCGGTTCTCCCTCATGAACAAGAGGACGAGCGTTGAAATATAAATAACTCGACCCACTTCCTGGTAACAAAACACTGGTAACATTATATTCTCTCGCCTCTGCGCTTGAGTCTGCTTTGAGCTGATGGGTCATACACCGGCAGTTGAAACCAACCTTACTGACAAGAAGTGCTACCTGGAAGTGAGATGCTCAGCCCTCTCACTTCTGCATTTTCTGTCACTTGATCTAAACTTAATATCAGTTAAGTTTAGATCAAGTCTCTCATTGTATGTGAGGCAAATGTCCCTTGATTCTTGAGGTTTCTTCAGAAAAAGTATATATTTATCCATATATCTAAAAGCAGAAAAACATTAAATGGCCTCCTGAAAATGTGGCTCATCATTTCTTTGCTTGTGTCTATTTTTGACATCCACTTATCCTTTTTATCCTTATGGCCCTCAGAGAATTTAGAATCTAAAAGGCGCCAACGTGTAAAGACATCAAAGGCCTTATACACTGAGAAGCCCTTTCTTGGTATATAAGGCCTTGGATGTCTTATATACTTTGGATATTCATCGCTGCCTCCTGTATTTTTGTCAGTGCCACAGTCTTCACATCGTGGCATCTCTCACTACCACCACTGAACCCATCCACTTTCACTACCTCTAGCATTTGCAGCTTCACTGTCACACCCGCCTCTGATTCACACACATGTATTCTGTCTTGCTTCTACTGACTTTCACTAACTATTCTCCTATCTCACGCATTTTCTTCCTTCATCGCCACCTCTCGGTCTAAGAACTTTCTCTTTACTCATTAGTACTTTTCTATCTCTATCTTTAACAACTAAATCCCATCCAGCTCGACCTTTCTGCCTAACCAATCGTTACAAGTTCTTTTCTCCTTTCTAATTGTCCAGCCTCACACACAACTCACTATATACGTCTGTAATACACGTATTTCTGAAATATACACTCCCCAAAAGTTGATTCTGTTCATCTAGCGTTTTTCAGTGGATGATTCAGTGATTAAGTGAACAGAATCAACTTTTGGGATTTTTACTTACCTGGATGATTGAGCATGCATCAAGACAATACAAGCCAATTCATACTCCTCGTCAGCTGGTGGCGGTAGTGGGCCGTATCGCTGTTTGTTAACGACAACGTGAAAACATGAAAAGAAGAAACTGAGTCGAAAACGAACGTCGTTTGAATAATTTTCGGCAAGTTTTTACATCATTTTACAGCAAAACGTTATTTTAATAGATTCCTTTTCATATTTCACCTATAGCGTGCAAACATTATACTCAGTAAATGTTATTTCACCTCTAAAAAGGCGTTTTGAGATGTAGTATTTGCATGTGGTTTGTAGCTCATGTTTTTGGCTAACATGTTAGCCACAGAGCTAACCTGAGTTGCATGTTCAGGGCTAATTATGACAACGTTACAGGGCTACGCGCCTTAAAAGTTTAATAAAACTGCTCAAGTAACATCACAGCTCACCTTCACCTCCACTTCACGGGAATAAAAGAGTCACTGTTTTTCCCCCTGTAGCACCATGTCGAAAAGAAAAGTAACATTTGAGGATGGCAACGGAGAGTTTGACCTCGAAGACGATGTCCCGAATAAAAAGGTAATGCGGTCTTCTTTACACGGTTATTTAAAAAGTATAGACTGCTGTGGTGGCAGAGGTTAGCAATAATTATTTTGTAGTGCAATTAGATTCTTACTAGTTGTTTACAGCCAAGCATCACACACGTACTTTCGATATCTCCAATGTTAAA